TTAGCAATACCGCATCCTGTGCCAAGATTAGTACTTCAGCATTTGTTTATTTATAAAGATCTCTAACCATTGATCTTCCATTTTGAATTCCTTCCCAATTGACTTATTTGTTCTGTCTTCCGTCTCTGATATTTTAAAAAATTTTCTGTCGCACTTCATTTCAAAAGCGTTAATTCTAACCCGCCTACGAACTTTTATTCCATTCAAATTCGTTTCTTTAGCTGATACTACGAGAACATAACACACCAGAAGTGATAGAAAGGCTATTCCATTAAGGAAATAAGAAAAAAGTTTAGTAGATTCGCTTTTATGTTCTCTTTATTCGTCAATTTATAGTCAACTGACCAATTACATCGGTTTTTAACCCCGCCAATATAGCCCAATATGGAACTTACCAGACCCATCCCAATTGTGACAGTTGAAAGCACCCTTAAACTGAGCTCATGAGTATCTTTCCATAAATCCAACACATGTTCCTTAAAGTTGGGAACTTCCGCTGGCCAAAGCTGCAAATGACCGATAATAACGAGCAATTATCAACACTGATCCTTGACTGTAAGGTTCACGGCGCACGCTATTGTTCTCATAGCAACTTAGTGGCCGTTTTTATGCTAAAGACGTTAAAGTGTCAAGCTATGAAAGGTAAATAAGACACATGCATCTAATGTCTTGTTAAAGTGCGTCATTCAGAATCATTTAACAAACGACTTTCTCGCCTCAGACATAAGAAGTGTCTAGTATGAAAACGGAACGCCGTAAACTTTGAAGCATTTGTGCCCAACTCGTCCAGAAGGCACTGGGAAGAGTCAGTGTTTTCTCTTTTTTCACAAACTCTGTTATTTTTCCCAATCATCTCGACAACTTTTATGGGTCTCGTTTTTACACCAGTCAACTTTAAAGCAGCCAGTGGTACACAAACTGTACATGGGTATCATCAACCTAGTCCCTAGGTGTTCTCTTTTGACTTGTTGTCGGCCCGAAGTCTGGAAAAGGGTAAACGAGTCTCTCTCTCAGTGACGTCACAGCTCACGGTAGATTTCAGGATTGACTTAAGTGAGAACGGCAAGGGAATAGGTTAGGGATATCAGGTATGTGAGGCAAAAATTTACTACGCGATCAGCTAGTGCAAGTTTTGGAACCAAGATTTCGACCTTTGAATACTGTAGGAACCGCTTCAAAATTGGCCTTTAACTTTCACTCTCAGTTTTTGGCCGTTCCAGACCCACTTAGTCTATTGGTGCTATAACTTGTTTCCAGACAGAGATCGTTTGACGTAAATCCCGTTAAATTTTCGGGCAAGGAAAGCTATTTTATGAGCGTCATGTTTGCATCAAAGATTCAAATAATTGTGTTAATTTTGAAATTCCTGAAATGAGAATCAAATCTAGTTTGTTTTGTTATGAAGTTTCGCCCACAGTACTGGTGCCAACAGCCAAAAACCTCACTGCACGAATCCAACGCTGAATACGCAACTTCAGTCGATATCTCCTGCCTTGAAAACATTACAGTACGCAAAAAATAACTTCCGGAAACTTCTGGAAACTTTGATTCCTCTACACTGTTTCTGAAAGCGTTAGTAGTGTCTAAACGTTCCTGGCAAAACCACAGTTCAACCGAGTTCACATGCTTTATGTGAGAACATTTTGCATAGAGTGTATTTCAAATCAGGTTACGTTTTAAGGTCAGTTCTTCTTATTATTATCACTACTACTGTTCACTTAAAACGTGTCTACGGGCTTAAAAAGTTACCTTACATTTGGAGAAAAAGATCCGCCTGGCACTAGCCGAACTCGTTTCAAGAAATTAAACAATGGCCGTGACTCTAAAAATCATAAGTTGCTAGTCTTGTTCTTGCAAGTACGAATATCTTAGTGGAGTCACTGTCCATAATGGTAGAACCAGTTAATTTATCTGGTATATATTAGCTTATATTCATATCGGTATTTCATCGGATTAAATAGGTTAACTTTTTCAGCTCTCATTGCTGTGGCTTTAGATAAAACTTGAAAAGCATTTTGTAATTTCTGCAAGACAATAGTTACTTTGCAGCTATATCCATTGACTTACGAAGTCATCCTCTAAGAAATCTTTTATATCGAAGCATTCCTTTAGATCGCCTGGTGTCTTTTCTCGTCGATTAACACTGCAATCCAAAACACAATACGTTAAAGGAATAAAAGTATAGAACCTAGAGCAAAAAAAGAAAACTTTTTTTAGCATAACGAAGTAGTTCGCGCGTGGTTGGCTGACGTAAATAAGCCGACTACGCGAATATCACCGGCGCAACCGACGTTGGTAAGAACCATTTTGGGGATTAAAACTTTGCCAGCAGGGTGTCAGAAATACAGTTAGCTCTCTCCGAAGACGGAAACCTTTGGGACCGTCATTAAATTTCCGTCTTACAGGATGTCCGTCTTATAGAGGGTTCAATAAAGAGAGTTTACGTGCTGTACTTGTAAGTACCCTTAAGAATTAACTACCTCTCTCTTTCCAATGCGTC